CTTTGGAGTCAAGGCGTATCACTTTCCCTGGACAATAGTGTGTGTACCAATCAGAAAGCTCCACTTAGCTTTGAGGTTCAGAGTTTTTATGGGAAACTTCACTACTTAGGCATGATTTATTAAGTCATTGGCCATGTGACTGAACTCAATATTCAGTCCCAAATCCTCCCTGGAGGTTGGGCTGGCCCAAAGTTCCAACCCTCTAATCACATGATCTTTTCTTCTGGTAACCAGTTCACATCCCAGTTACCTAGGAGCCTACATTAAGTCATTTCATTAGCATGACAAAGACACTCCTATCACTCAAGGAAATTTCAAGGTTTTGGGAAGTTCTGTGTCAGGAACCAGGGAGAAAGATCAGATCTTTACTATGCCACACCATGCTTGAGATCTTCTCTTTTGTCAAACTCTGTAAGACACAGACAAGAGACAACAGAGATTGAGTGGAAAACCCAGAAAGTGAACACTGGTCCCAATACTTATGATATCAGAATTCTGAAGTAGAAGGTACAGAACAATAAAATGTTTGAGGAGATGAAAATGTTAATTACCCTGATTTGATAATACATATATATATATATAACATATATATGTCATTGTACTTCATAAATATGCAAAACTATCATGTATGAAAAAAACAAAATAAAATAGCAAAGGAGGCAGGGATCTTTGTTTCCAGTTCCTGTAACAGAGCTCCTAAAACCCTTATTTTCTTAATGATAGGCATAATAGGAGCATCTTTTTTTATAATACTTGGTCTTAGTTCCTTGTTTTCCAACACAAGAACTTCTAAGAACTTTTGGACCCTTGGAATCTCTTCAGTGAAAAGATTTGCATGCTAATATAATGCCTGACCACTTGTTCCCTAGGTAGCTTTAGGATCGGTCTGGTCACCAAAAAGACCAAGGCATGATTAGGGGGTTGGAGTTTTCAGTGCCACCCTCTGTCCTTCAGGGACAGGAAGGGGGTAACAGATTGAGTTAATTACCAATGGCCAATGATTTACTCATTCATACTTATGTAATGAAATTTCTTTAAAAACTCTAAGGGGTAGAGTTGGAAAGATTCTGGGTTAATGAATGTACTCATTTGCTAGGAAGGTGGAACATCCCAATTCCACACAGACAGCAGGTCCTACATTTGGGATCATTCCAGATGTTGCCCTATGTAGCCTCCTCTGCTTTCACTTATACCATTTATCTTTTATAATAATCAGTAATAGTATGTAAAGTTTTTTGTTTGTTTTTTTTTTTGTACCGGGGATTGAACTCAGGACCTTGCGCTTGGGAGTTAGGCGGCAGAACCACTGAGCTAAATCCCCAGCCCTCAATAGTATGTAAAGTGTTTAGCTGACTTATGTGAGCCTTTGGAACAATTGAAGCTTAGGAGGGTTCTGGGAAGTATTGATTAGTAGCCAAGTCAGAAGTGTGAGTAACCTGAAGATTCACTACTTCTGATTGTGATTTAAAGTGGGAGATCCAACTGTGAGACAGAGCTAACTTGTTGGCTCTGCCCTAACTCTGGGTAGTGTTGTTATCTGATTTTGGGGTGCTGGAGATGTTTTCCAGGTTCCTTCTGTCCTGAACAAAGAATTGGTCAAGACAAGACGAACAGTAGCAAAGTTTTATTAAAGGTAGGAAAAGAAACAGGATTTGCAGAGCAAGTTTGGGTCAAGTAAAAGTAGGAAAAGAAGTACATCCTACAGTGTGAGGGTGGGGCACTCATTGGGTGAACACAGTGGCAAATATTCAATGTGGACTGTACTTTTTGTATCACCTACCTTCTCCTCCTTGTATCACCCAGGCTGATGTCAGTTCTAGGGTTTTCTTTTACTTATTATTTAGGGGATGCCTGGGAGGGCTCAGAAAGAGCTCAAAAATCAAGAAGCTGCTACCTAGGATGAGAGCAAAGGAACAAATCTTAGGAAATGGGAAGAGAGCAAAACATAAGAAAGAGAGCAAAGGGTACATAGAGGGGAATCTGTAAGGTTATCCATGAAGCATGTTCTATAGGTGGTCACAGAAAGACCTTCCTCTCTGGCACAAAACAGCAAGAACATGGAATTTTACATGATTCAGCAACTCTGTGTTCCTAAATGGGAGGAAGCTGATGCAAGGGACTGACATCGAAGAATCTTCTTGGGGGTTGAGAAGGTTGAAATATTGCAATGAAAAATCCTATGAGAAAATCCCAAAGTATCTAAGGTTCCCTCCCCTTGAGTCTATGTCTCTTCTTCCTTTTTCTAGATCTGCACAAGTTGAGGTTAACTACTATCTGCATCCTCAGCCAGCAGGAATCCTAGAGCCAGATGTGCTTCCCTCTCATCCCATCTCTCCCTCAGTTTTGAGCCAGTCTCAGCCACCTCTAATGCATGTACACTCTCATTAAGGAAGATAGACAGAAGACAGTGCCTACATGATGGGAGAGAGTGGTTCCCATCTCCATCCCTGCCTTTCCAGATCCAGAGTCATAGGTGCTTACAAATTGCCACTTCACCATTTCCCCTCTCTGGGGTTCTGATGCCAACTCTGTCTATATGCTCTCTTCAGCACACAGAACCCCCGTCACACAGAAGTGAGTAGAAAGCTTAGCGGTAAAGGGTGAGGCTGTCTAGATGGCAAGATGAAGTGTGAGTACCCGGGGCATTTCAAACGCCAGCATCTAATCTCAGCTGCCAACTCCTAGGGATGGCATTTACACCTACCTCCTTCAATAGCAACCACTGATTCTCTGCACAAATATTTCCCTCGGATAGCTGCCCAGTTCTCAAGCTCCTGGTCAAAAGACAGACCTGGCTAAGACATTTGCAATAGGCTGAGATTTTTTTCTCTACCAGCAAATGCTGAAATTCTGGTCACTTGAGAATCAAGCTAATGCAGCATGTAGAGATGCCTACCCATCTGAACATCCTGCAACTCTACCCACCTGTCTCAATTGTCAAGTATATATGTCTGTCCTGTCCCTTCTCCATGCAGGTAAACACACCTTTCTGCAGCCCAAGCGAGTGCCTAGTCACATCACCCACCATCAGTCGCAGTTTTATATGATGGTGCAGTGAGCTAGGCTACAGCAGCCCTGCAGCTTGGACTGCAGAATTTTCACATGCATGCGCATGCGCGTGCACACGCACACATAGACACATGATCTGTGGTGAAAAATATTGATAAGCAAAACGTTCAAAATAAATTTCCTCCACCAGGATGATCATTGTTAACATTAGTGATTTGTAAAGGGAAGCTAAACTTCCACTTTGCTCTACTTCCTTTAACCTTCATGTATTAGACTCAGGTGGAAAAAGCCACATTGCACCATCAGGAAAATGATACAATATTTGGAGAAAGTCAACAGATTACTGGGTATTTCAGGGAGTGCTGGGGATCACTTTCTACTGTTTTATTTTCTAACTGGTTAGGGGCTGATTTTAACTTGTAGATATTTTGTTCAATAGATATGTGAATGATTTGTCCAGTGGTATATATAACAGTAAATGTTACAATTTATTTGCCTTGTAAGATATTTCAGTTTTACATTTAACTCAGCAAGATTATTCTAACATTTAATTGCCTAAGTATGAAATTTGATATTTTTATATCTCCATATTTTGTACGTTGTATAGATACCTATCTCCATTTTCTTGATCTTAGTTCATTGTGTTGATAAAAATAATGTTCACTTTTAATTTACATGAGACATAATTATATATTTTTGAAAGCTTACAGCATCCTCAGACAAAAAAAGATATTACATTTTTCCCCAGGTTTAAAAAGAATAAAATATCTGTATTTCACACAAGTTTAGAGTACCTCTTCAACTTTATCCCTGAATTCAGAAATTCTCCTGAGTGTATGGTATGGGTTTTTATTGTGATAAAATATATATAGTGTAAACTTACCATTTCAAACATTTTGTATAATTCAGTGACATTAAACATATTATTAATGTTGTACACCCATTATCCCTGCCTAGTTCCAGAACTTTGTCATCTAAAAAGGATATGTTATGATTGTTCGAATGTAATAATCATGTGAAAAAGTTGCCATTGTATTACCATCAACACACTAATAGAAAGTTAACTTAATGTTTTTCTTTAAAACATTTCATTTAAAAAGCTGTTTTTTGAAATCTCATCCATTTACAAATTTTCTAAATGATTTATCATTTAGGAATTATTTTTAACAACACTTATGTTTCATTTATATAACTGTATCCTTTCCAGCATCCCCACCCAGAACTTGAGGCACTAGATGTATGCTTATTAATTTGTATATTTCCTCAACGTACGTCTCTGAACATATGGTACATAAATTTTATTCCAAACTGAAAAATATATGAAATTACTTAGAAAGACATACTGAAGTTGTGTAGAAATTGCAGTTATATATATATTTTAAAAATAGGATCTAATTTTTCATAGATGATGCCACATTCTTCTCTGGGTCACTGAATGTAACACTGTCCATGTCATTTCATGTCAATACATCAATCTATACATAATTATATCAATGGCTGCATGGTATTTCCATAACTAGGATAAAATCCTATCCCTGAGTCCATTTAATGGGAGTCTTTAACCCTCTAGGTGGCACTGATGTAACACCTGTACTTTGAATTGTAAAATATGCAGAATTGGCTTAGTTCCCTTGAATTGACTTCATTCCAACTTTCCAACTGAATCACTCACTAAACTCCTCCCACCTATTTCAAGCATACTGTGTACATTTATGCTACTTGAAAATACTAATTACATGCTTTTCTTCATACCACCATGGCCCACTTCCAAGAATGACTTGTCTCATCCTATCCTTCAGTGACCAATTTAAGTGGATCCCTCTTCTCTGAACCATTCCTGCAGCATCACAGCCCACAGTAATCTCTCCCTTCTTAAGATGTAAGAATGGGATCTTCTAATGAGCACATATGTTCATCACACCAGTAATTACTTGTGGTTTTAACTGTGTGTAATTTATCTACACCTCATTTTTAAAGTGAAGGGTCATTTATGCCTATTTTAGCATAGAACTTTATTGAAAACACAAACTCCAGTAGAGAACCACACGTTTAAACAGTGAATAGCAGGGCTGCTTACTCAGATGACTCAGGTCATTGGAAGCTCAACACTAAAAAATTTCACAATTTTCACAGCAAGACAAGTATCAACAAATACACTTTCAGTTCTAATATTCATCTGGCATCCACAAAACAATCCAGCTTAAAACAGAGTTCAACAAGTTAACAGCAGCATTAAAAATATAAGTTACAACATAAAACCAGACTGTGAACACTAAAGTACTACTCAGGGTTCTTTGGGAACATAAGGCTGATCAGCAGCAGGAGATTAACCACATTAACTCTGTCGTCCCACCTCAGGATCATTCTGATTGTCTATTTGGACTTGTAGTTGCTTAGCCAACTCCTCAAATTCATGGAATGCAGAAATAAGTGGCTCAAGACTGAAATCTTCATCAATGAAGGCCAATGCCCCACTTCTTATAATATTACTGATATTCTGAAACATTTTAATAACAATCTGAATGTTATCATTCGTCTCTTCTATGTTAAAAAGACCCACGAATACTGATAGAGCTTCGGCACTGAATAGTTTTTTTGCCACCTTAAGATTTTCAGACAAATTCAATAGCATTTTCAGAACATGAAACTTTGTTCTTGCATTGCCTGTGGTTAATAAGGAAAGAAACCCGGACATATAATTGGCAATCAGTGTATGATAGTCAGTAGTCATAGTGAGGTGCCTCAGCATCATTATTCCAGTCACTTGCTCAAGGGAATCCACACCATGAGCAAGGGTTTCCTCACACACTTGGCATATGAATGTCTCAATCATATTTAGATTTGGATATGGTGGAGCCAAGTGAACCATGTTTTCCAAGAAACTTGTCCTAACTCGGGAGGACGGATAATTCAGCAATGTTTCAATGAGAGAGACAATGCCTGAATCCCGAATGAAATCCCGGGTAAATTGAGAAGCACTTCTCATACCCATTGCAATTTTAGAGATTTCTTGAATAAAAGGATCCTGAATTCTGTCCATTAATAGAAGGAGTTCTTCGAACTCTCCAGCCCCAATTTTAAGCTCACACTGTATGCAGCTGCAGAACCAATCCTCAGGCTCTACACCTTCCTTGATCTTAAGATGTTCACGAATTTCTTGGACTGACCGATAGGAAGGATCATACCGAAATGGGAACACAGTTTCAAGCGGATCAGGTTCAAACAAAAATTCTTCCTCTTCCCCTTCCAGGTTCTTGGGATTTGCCTCAATCGCTTCATTAGACCCTTCGGGAATTCTAAAAGAGGTTATGGGTGGGAAGCCAATCGCACGAGAAGGACGCTTGAATTGAAATGTGACCTCATCCCAGGTTTGGGGTCTGGTTGATACACTAGGTTCTTCCTCCACTGCATCTCTAAACCTGCAGTTGGCCCTGTACACAGGACTAGGATTTAGGTCAAAGCAGGCCTCATCTCTATCCCAGAACCAGGATCCAAATATGGCCTCTTCTTCAGACTCAGGTCTCGCCTCTTCTCTGGCCAAAGCCCCCAAATTGGACTTTTCTTCAGTCCAGAACAAGGATCCTCCAATGGCCCCCTCCTCAGCCCCTGACTCAGAGTCACAAATTGCAGCAGCTCCAGCTTCCAAACTGGCCTCTTTTTCTGCCCAGAACCAGGACTCAATAATGACTTCCTCCTCATACCTGGCCTCTTGTTCGGCTCTATCATTGTGTTTAATACCTTTCTGGGCCCTGGATTTAGAGGTGTCATTAGACTCTTCCTTGTCTCTGGGCCTGAATCTACTATTGGTCTCTTCTCCAGGCAAAAACCAGGACTCCTTATAGAACTCATCTTCAGACTCAGATTCAAAACAGTCCTCTCTCTTTGTTCTGAGCTTGGACCTGATATTTGTCTCTTCTCTCACTCTGGACCTTAACAAGTTATTGGTATTTTCCCCAGCCCCAAAGCACAGTGGATTGCCAGCCTCATCCTCAGACCCAGACCAAGAATCAAAATAGGTCTCCTGCTTGGATCTGGGCTTGGACTTGGGGTTAGTCTGATGTTTAGCCCTATGCCTGGACCTGGTATTAGCCTCTTCCCTGGGCAATGATCTGATACTAGTTTCTTCTCCAGCCCACAAAGAAGACACAGCACAGGTCTCATCTGCTGACCAAAGTCCAGATTCATTAGAAGCTTCCTCTCTGGCTCTGGGCCTGGGATAGTACCAAGAACCCCCAGCAGTCTCTTCCCTTTGTCCAAACCGGGGCTGGAGTCCTGTCTGGCCCTGAGTGCCAGAAAAGGATTGAGTGTCCACTTTGACCACTTCTGCATCCAAAGAGCCTTTAGACTTAGTAACTGACCCAGAATCAGTACTGACCAGTGGCCAGATGACAGCATTAGTCTGGGATGCTCCATCTGACTGTGACATTGCATGGGCCCCAAACTCAGTCTGGGACCATGCCAGAGCATCATCCTTAGGGCTTGCCCCAGGGGTTGCCTTGGCCTCAGACTTAGGACGTGCACCACCTACTGCCTTCCCACCAGTTTTGGGCCTTGCCCTAGCCACTTTTGGAGGGTCAGTTTTGGGTCTTGCTCTAGCCATTGCTGAGGCCTCTGATTTGGGCCTTGACCCAGCCATTGCTGGTGACTCAGTTTTGGGCCTTGCCCCAGGCACAGACTTGGACTCAGTTTTCGGCTTTGCTCCAGGAGTTACCTGGGTCTGGGGTCTAACTTTGGGTCTGACAACCAAAGGGACTTCTTTCTCTCGCTCAGGCCCTCCCATGCCCATTTCCCCAGCCTTCTTTTCAGGCTTTGCCTGGGCACCAGGCTCAACTTCTGCCCCAGTCATAGTAAAAGTTAACAGAAAAGGCTCAATTAAATTCCCCTATGACAATCTCAGTCACTACAACAGATCTATCACAGATCTGTATCTTGACACTGATATGATGATGCAGGATATAAAGTGAAGCAGACTTAAAATCAATCACAAGTCCAGCAGTTACTCAGGCTCCTACCCAAGCAAAATCTCAGTCAATAATACAGATAAAGTGCAGATGAGGCGCAACCAGGTTGGGGATTGCTGGATGGTTTCTGGCTCGGTGCAGACACGTTGAGGGTGATGGCCAGCAGCAACTCCAGCACCACCAGAGCTGTCACTGGAGGTGGATCTAGGGAAAGAGAACAAAATGGGGAACTGAGTCCCTCATCCAATTGTGCTGCCTCACGCAGAGACCTACACAGACAGACTGGTGGTGAATGCCTGGTGGAAAAATTAAACTGAGAAAGTCTCTCTGTCCCTCTTGCCTGCTACAAAACAGGTATGGAGATGGTCAGGGAGTGTGTTGACAATGGAGAGGCAGAGAAGCCCCGCGACGGGACCCTAATCACCCCTGGACCCCACCACAAGTGGCTGGTCTCCACTACTCCACCCAAAAGTGAACCCTCACCCATACAAACCTGCACGGGTATGGTGCAATTTCCACCTCTTTTCTTTGTTCAAGTGGTGTTAAGCCCCACAGCCAACTGCAGGGGTCCTACAGACAAACATACAGGAGAGAATGGAGTCTGAGTGCTTAGGAGATAACCATGTACCCTGGCCCAAGGAAAATCTCTCTCTTTCTTAGTTTAAGGGTCTAATCTCTCTAAAGGGTCCTATCTCTTGCTGTCAGGTCTTCTCCCAGTCACAGTCCAACCTACACCTACCTCAACATTCCTATATCTAGCAGGAAAAGGACAAGGAATGCTGTGGCAATGTGAAAATGCAGCAGAAAGTAAAAGTGTATGTGGTCCTACGCCCACTTGGATCAAAGCCACCCACAGCTCTTTGTCAGTAGCTGTCCCCTGCATTGGCCCCCTTCTCACCAGCCTCCAGAGATTTGAGCCCGTCTCCTCCTCTTTTGTTTTGCTGAAGAACTGATCAGCCTTAAAGCAGGCCTATGGGCAAACAGATGAAAAGGTTAAGACAAGTCAGGAAACAGTGATAGCAGCTGAGCTTGGTGGGCAGACCAACATCAACGACAGGAATCTCCACGTTATCTCTTTCAGGATTTGGGGACCTGCTGCTTTAATATTCTTGTTTTATCTGGTCCCTGTTGCAGTGTTCCACAGGTAAGAAGCCTTCTCTTAACTTCATCACTCTTCCCTTTACTTCCACCTCCAATTCTGATGATCCACCACTAGGTGTACCACATTCCCTTACCCTGCGCAGCATAAAACAGGGGAGGGGCATAGCATATTCCAGAAAGCATGCTGTGAAGTTCTATTTACCGTTCCCTCATCACCCCCCTCCACAAGCCAATCTTTTCAGGCCCCCAATTTGTGGCACACGAGGTATGTGTGGGGAGGTGAGGAAAATACCTGGGTCGTTGTTAGAAAAGATGAGATTAGGAGGCACCACCGGAAGTCTGATTTGCCCTGGTCCCGGTCACCCCACCCTTATCTGGGTCTCCATTCAGTGACTGGTGCCCACCCCCCAACCCCACACACCTCCAAAGCTCCAGGCCATTTTCCTGCTCCTGCTCCTGCTCTTTCTCAAGCCTCTCCTCTACAGATGCGCACCGTGGCCTGTCTGAATTCACCAGACCTACCGCGCAGACAGGAGTCTCTGACATCAACAGGAGCCTGTGGGAAGGGACAGTACCCTGGACACGGGGGTCCAACAGGCCCCGTTCTGGAATCAGGGCCTGACAGCAAAGGTGACTCACCTTCCGCCCTCCGGGCTGGACAC